TCAATTAGGCCTAAGTGTCAAACCTCACACTATTTCATATTTATTGATTATAACGTATTCAATAAACCAAACTCCAGTGTTACTCATCTTACGAATTATTAACGAAGGAATTATTTTGACCCCTGCAAAATAAAAAGTGGAAAGAGATAAGTGAATTCAGGCCTACCTCATGTTGCACGTTTGCACTTTTTGAGAAAAACAATGGCACATTAAAAAAAGATTTTTCAGGTCTATTTCCAATTAAATCCCTCACCTTTTTCTAGTTATTGGGTTAAAATAAAATACATATTTTGCTTGTAATTTAACTAAGGTGTTCTAAAATGTGATTCCAATTTTTTTTCCTCATATCGCAATATAATATCGATATCGTCCGACTCCAGACAGTGAAAAATATCGTGATATGAATTTTTGCTCATATCGCCCACCCCTAGCGCAGACATGCCGTTTCATTTAACACACATACACTGAAGCACGCTCACAATATGAGGACATGAATGCATGAACATCTCCAGAGCCGCTCCTCAGCATTTAACAGTTTCATTTAAGAAAAACTATAGACATAATAAAACACACAGAAACTCAACGGTCTTCACACGCAACCCGTCAAAATAAAAGTTTGGTTTAACTTGACAAATATTAATGTTGTACAGTTGAATTTAGATCCGTCTGAATGTAATACAAACACTAATAATAATAAATTATCAAAACTTTAAGGAATAATCACAATTTTTCTCCATGTTTTAATTTTAACAGTATAACACTCAGTTGTGCAGCATGTTGTTTGACAAATGTTTGTTTAATTTCATATGATTAAAATAAATTAATGTTTTTTGTCTTCATTTGATTACCAGAAAATACACAAACTTTGTGGAAAACAAAACATTTCATGGAAATGATTTTATTATTATTATTATTAAAATGGTTGTTTTTATGAATATACAAACATCACATACAACGGCAGACATCAAGGCAGCTCTGGCATAATGTCAATAACACTTCAATAACTGTAAAGAAACAGTCATTTATAGAAGTAAACATGCCTAAAGTACCAAGAAAAGGTACCGCTGGGTAACAGCACCGAATTTCATGTACCGGTTAAAATGTGAATGGTACCCAACCCTACCAATAAGGCACTCCATGTTGTGTTACACTGTGAATATAGTAGGTTGTGATCACTCCACGCAAGAAGTTGTCACTAAACATGCAACACAGTACAAGTCTCTCATACTTAATGGTGTAATTCTAGACATTTTTTGTGACTATGTATTGAAGGTTTATTAAACCACACTTACCTTGTTCAGCCTCCCTGTGAGATTGACAACAATTTTCCCGGCTCGGTGATCATCAATGATCTCAAATTCTCCAATATAACCTGCAAAGATCACAACCAGCTTGAGCAGCTTGTTTCATGAGATATAACATCAGAATCTGCTTTACAAGACACTGAAAGGCTCATGAATTAACTCACCATGCTTCATCATCACAGTAAGAAAGCGCACTATAACTTTAGAGCAGGGCCTGATGAGAACCTGGCGTTTCCCACGTTTCTCAGCATTGTTGATGCTTTTCAGCGCATCAGCGAGAACGTTCATGCGCACCATGATGCCTGTGGAGACAAAAAATAGAAGAAAAAAAGTGTCATTTATCCGTTATTCAGTTAATATATCCATTAAACAGCCTCATCGCCACTCTCACAAGCCAAACCTCTAACGTTACTTTAAAAAACAGGTAGACCTTGACAAAGCAGGTTAAAGACAAAACGACCATTTTCGGTTCGTTATATAGTTATATGAAACCTGTATACAATTTTCTCCGACACTATGCGAAATGCTTAACGCTTAGGTAGTGGGTGAATTAGTTAGCAAATTAAGCTACCTTGGATTGGATTCACAATAAACCTTTCTACTTAAATACAGCATATATTTGGGATTAGAAACAAGGCACCGGACTGCTTGAGGACTTTGGTTTGACTCGGGTTATTAGTGTCTGCCCCCCAGAAACATGGGCAGATGCACTACTGAATGGTGGAGGATGGCGAATCATGAATATCAGGGAAATATATGCGTTTATATAGCCATGATTGACCAAATGACTCAAAAATCTGGCGTTTAGGCTCCACATAAACACATATTTCAGTCTAGCTGTTGTTGATACACAACGATGTCCGTGATTTTAAACAGATTATTCAAGCATTGTAGGAATCCTGAACCTTACCAGTTCTGCAATATGGCGGAAAGAGGAAGGAAGAGGGGCGCGCGGTGCAATTTGGGAAAATATGTACTCTCGCGAGAGCACAGAAGGACTGTCTGCATGTTTAATCATCTAAACGGTACTGCCACCTAACTGTTTGGAGCGCCTCTTTGACAAACGTGATTAACTGAACAGAATATTTTCATAATTTAATTGTTTGCTTTTTCTCTTTATTAGTCAATACTTATTGCAATCTTATATGCACTAGTATTCAGCTTTTTTAGAAAATTGTCTGCACTATAAATGTTCTGCTATCTAAGCTAGTGCTTAATACGGTCGTGATCAAACCTTGCAGAATCTGCAAAATGTTTATTATTTTAACAAGAGGGATCATACAAAATCCATATTATTTTTTATTTAGTGCTGTCCTGAATAAGAATTTTACATAAAAGATGTTTACATATAGTCCACAAGACCAAACAAATAGCTGAATTTATAAAAATGACCCCGTTTTTACATGCCCTTAATTCTTAATGCTGTGTGTCCTTCCATGATCCATGGCTGTTTTTTTGTTTGTTTGTTTTTTGTGATGGTTGTTATTGGGTCCCTTGTTTGTCCTGAGAAGTCAAACTGCCCAGTGTTCTTCAAAAAAACCCTCCAGGTCCCACAAATTCTTTGATTTTCCTGCATGTTTTGCATATTTGAACCCTTTCCAGCAGTGACTGTATAATTGTGAGATCCATCTTTTCACACTGAGGGATTCAAGCACAACTATTAAAAAAGGTTCAAACATTCACTGATGCTCATGAAACACGATGCATTAAGAGCCCGGGGGTGAAAACTTTTTGAATTTGAAGATCAAGGTAAATTGTACTTATTCTGTCTTCTGAGAAACACATGCAAGTGTCTTCTGTAGCTTCCGAAGGTCAGTACTTAATGAAAAAAATATGACCTTTAAACAAAATAGGATATATTTGGACATTGTCATCCTGTTCAAAAGTTTTTACCGCCCGACTCTGTTTCCTTATGTAGCATCAGTGAATGTTTGAACCTTTTGTAAAATATCTTATTCAGGACAGAACTAAATAGAACAGTACTAAATAGAAAATAACGTATTTTGTATGACTCCTTTTGTTTTGTTAAAATAATTAACATTTTTAGATGCTGCAAGGTGTATGTAAACTTTTGATCACGGCTGCTATCTAGGCTATACATTTATATATAGGCTATATGTGTGTGTGTGTGTGTGTGTGTGAATTTCTAAAATGCCCTTGAAATCAAATAGTTACCCCTCTGAATTTGACAAACTGATCTCAGCAGCATTTTAAATTTTATTTATTTTTTGCCCTGACATTTTCTATGGTCCTATTTTCTGCCATCTACTAGAGGTTGGAAAAACATCAAAAACAGACCAAACATAATTCATGCACATTGTTTATTCTGTTGATCATTTCAGATAATGCTTTATAATCTCAACAGACTGCTTTTATTTTGTATAGCAGTACAAAAGGAGCAGCTACGCATAAAGGTAAAAAAAAAAAAAAACAAGAGTCACTTAAATGTTAATGTCAGAGTAAGCATTGTTTGGGCCATATAATCTTTGATAGAAGGCTTTAAGTCCCACACAGTAGACCACAAATCTGTCTGGTCAGAGTCTATGGTGCATGTCCATTTTGCTGGTTCTTCAGTAAGAGATCCATGTAAGCGCCATCGATCAGATCCCCCTGCTTCACTCCCAGCTCCAGCATCAGCTGGTTTGCGATGGTCACTCCTTCTTCTCGGCTCTGGTGTTCTTTCATCACCACCTCAAGCTCCATGAAGTCCCCCAGGCCCTCTACAGAATCAACATGCACCCTGGTCTGTCCCACCATGTACAGCCTCCTCTCCTTCTTCACCTGCCCCACTTGCCCCAGTGCATCCGTCAGAACCTTGACAAGCCCCTGTGGGTCGCTGGTAGGAGTTATGGAGTAGTTTGACAGCTTGGGTCCTTCTGTATCTGGCCTCTCATAGAAGATCAACTGCCCTGTCCCATCCTGGAAGTCCCTGAGTTTCAGCCGTCCTGCGGGCACTTTGAAAAACGTGTCCTGCTGACGGATCACAGTCCCATCTGTACCGCTCAGCTCCTTTGCACGCTGCGTGAGGTAACGCAGGTCACGCAAAACTGCTTTTATTTCTACATTTGACGGCATGTTCACAAAAAATGCGTATAACAATAGCGCGCTGCAGTAGATCCAGAAGCTCTTGTTGCTTTCGCGCGCTTACCACAAAACTTTTAAAGCGCATGTGTGGTAGTTGGTGACGCTATTGATTCCTCCAAGTGAACGAATCTTTTGAATCAGTTCACGAAGAAGAACAAATCCGAAACGTTATGTCACAGTCATTCGTTAAAAACTCGATTCATTTAAAAAGTCAACCTAAAAACGTATTATTGTACTTTATTACAATTATTAATAATCATTAAGATAATATTTAAATATCATAACCGCTTTCCTCACAAATGACTACAAAGCACACCCATTCCCCTCCTCCATTTGGTCAAGCTAGGCAAGGCAACTATAAAGAATACAATAATAATAGCCTAAATACAATTTTAATCTTGACGAAATAAACATAAATCGTTCCGAAAATGAACACGTATTTGTTCAGTGAAAGGAGCGTATACGTTAACTATGCCCATACAATTATGTTTTGTGCTATAATCAGTCTTTGACGGTAGGATGAAAATATGAGCTCAGAAGGTAGAGATTGAGGGATTAACCACCGCATCTCTGAGCCGGAACGATTCGTTCACTACAAGATTCATCCAAAAAACGCCACTACTGCGCATGCGTACACAAGTATAGCTTTTCACTGCTGTGACTCAAGTCAAATGTCGCGTAGAACTCAAATGGATTTCTAAACAAAATATTTACACGGCTTTAATGCATTGACATCTTTAGGACAACTGAACATTTTTAGCTATCGAAATAGCACGTAATCCGTAGTGTCGCTAGTCTTCTTTGCTTTGCAGAGATATGTTTACATCCCAGACCTCTTCCTTCCAGGAGTCCATAGACGTGGATGAAAGGGATGTAGACTTCGACAACGAAGAGATCGCCGGATTTAGCCAGAAGATACAACAGATTAACAGCTACTATGCAATATACTACTACCAAAACACAAGGTACAGTGGTTTTCATTTACTAGTCATGAGATAACGTTAGTGACTTTGTGCCAGGTGTTCCACCTGCAGAATGCTTTGCAAAATGCTACTTTGTTTTAGAAATATGTTGCCCTTGTACAAGTATGTATGCCTCATATTAAAGAGTATTTGAGATTTGTGCATTTGTAGTTAGGTCTAGCCAATTTTGCTTCTTTTCTACGTGTATGAGTTAAAATTCACTATTTTTGTGCTTATGAATTAAGAGTTGCATGACATGAAGAGCAATGTCTTACATTGGCAGCATAGTTCATAATAGTGAGTTAGTCTTATGAAATCATATGACTGTATAATGGATGAGTTATACACAGTATATGGACCCTAATATGTATATAAGACATTGTAAAACACCACACATGAACTTGTAGGCCATTTATAACCTGGGAGATCTTAACATATTAATGCTTATTAAGTATTAAATGCATTATCAAACTACCCAGATCTGAGGCTTCTGGAGAGAGTGTGGCCTGGAGCCAGAGGAGATCAGACTCAACCACAAGTCAGGATGACTTTAGGTAAAGAGGGGTCCATCATCTCTCAGTCATCGCAGTCAAGTGGCTTTCAATGTTGTGATGGAAGAAAAATCATGGCTTTAGTCAAAAAATGCACACAGGATTCTGCGTCTTGCTTTTCATCATGTTGACTTGCTCATCTCATTCATAACCATTGAACTAATCTGTCTAACGGCAAACTCTTTAGTATATATCTCTGCTAGGTGCCGTTGGTGATTCTGTGAACATCTATGCTTCATTAACTGCTTGTCTGTCCGCTTGTTCACTTTGCCTTTCCTTGTTGATATTATAGTTTTTTTAATTTTTAACACACATTTTTCACACTTAAAGTCTCACCCTGCTGGACGCCAGCTTGCCATCCGATGCGGAACCAGAACTACGAAGCTACATCTCCCGCAGGCTGAGCAAGGGCGCTTTGCTGGGGGGTATGGGTAACATTGCCACCGTGGAACTAAGGTACATCGTATCAGTGTTGTTATTGTTAACTAACACTATAAAAAAAAATGTTTGTTAATTGTAATGAAGCTGAAATAAAATATATGTAAAACTTTAACTTTTAAAACGTAGAAATGTTAAATTAATTTTAAATGAAAATGAGAAAGATTGCTTTGGCAACTGACTGAAATAAGTTGAAGATGAAGTACTAAAATTATTAGTTTTTAATTATCCCTCAGTGCACAAATAAATATCCAGAACCATATCTCATTGTCATTCAGTATAATATCACCATGTAGGCTATTTTCTTTCTTAACTGATTCAATGATTGTTGGTGTTCAAGCATCCCTGAGCAAGCGGTGGGCTGTTACTGCTGTCTGCTGGAGCAAGAGAAATCTCCGGAACAGCCTGAGGCCGATGGCAACGGCTGGGTGGTGTGTCTTCTCGGAGGATCAGAGAAGGGCCTGAATCTATATCCTCAAATCAAAAATGACTGACCATAAAGTAGCCATGAAACAGAAGTTTTAATTGTCTTTTTATTTTCCATTGTTCCGTATATCCAAGTGAAACGGCTTCTCGAACAAGTAGAAAAATGTGGAATTGATTGTATGGTTGTAGTTTGCTATGATGTCATGTGAGTGACAGATTGTCCTGTCCTCATGCCAGTAAACACAGAGAAGAGGTGTCACTGCAATCTGAGGGAGGGGAAGTTGTTTTGATTAAAGATTATGAGGGCACATGAATAAAATTAAAAAAATTATATGCATGCACGGATAAATCATTTATAATAATAAACTGTGATATTCCATAAAAAGAACTGTGCATTTTAATTTCATGGTGACTTTAAACTAAAGAAAAACAGCATTGTGCATTAAGGAATGAAGTGATATCAAGTTTTTATCATTGCATTCAAATACTGTTCTCTCTTAATAGGATAATTCATTTTACTTAACCATACAAACATTCAGAATTGAGCTGGACAAGTACGTCCAGGGTCTGCAGGGCTGTTTGACTCCAGAGGTGAGGACAACAATTTTTTTTCAGAAACAATAGGCATAACGTACATGTTGAAATTGGTCTGTTTTGTTGAAGTTATAAATCTGCTGGCACACTGCCTTTGATATTCATTTGCTGTTAACATCGTTGGTAACCTCTTGTTACAGATGCATAACTTGGAGACAGATGTCAGGCCCTACCTGAACCAGTGGTATGAAGAGTCAGTAATGCACATTCACAGAGTGGTTCAGCTGTTGCAGGGGAACGTCGGGTACCTTCTGCATGCTGTAAGAAACCACTGCAGTCTAGATCATATACACTTTACATCTGAAAACAATATACTGTATTAAATGAAATGGTAAATGAACGTAACATCACATCTCTGCTACAGGCTTTGAGTCACAAGCTTGTAGAGGTCACAGGGACGGATGAGAAGACAGAAGCAGATGTAGCAAGGTGAGGAGAACAAAGCTCTTTTTACGCAGTACTCTTGCAGTTTAAGTACTGATAGTTACTGCAGCTTGATCAATTGTGTTGATTAGATTCATCAAAGCAGCAAGTCTGCAGGGTCTAGTCCAGGAAGACACCACTACAGCCTCCCTCTGTAAGGCCATGTCAGAGGACTCTCACACCAACCTGATCATCAACTACTCAACCAGCCCTCCCACACTAACCAATGAAGGTCAGCAGGAGCATCGTCATCATAAGCCACTAAATCTACAGGCTTTCTCCTTTCATGTTATTTTGATAATGTTGTGTTGTTATTTTAACCTCTGCAGTCAGTAACCGGTTCTGTGACGACTGGATCCAGGCCTTCCTCAATGCTGCTGAGCGCTTTAACCCTTTCCTCCTCCGTCAGATCCTGGAGAACTTTAAACTTAAGGTTAATGTGGTGTTCAATCATTTTTGTTGTTTGCTCAATTTACTTGATTAAAATGTAATAATAAATATTTATTAATAAATTCATATTACAAAAGTTTACTTAAAATACATTTGTGTTAGGAGCACATCAATAATTTTCATTGGCTTTAACAAAGAATTGCTGAAAAGGTTACATTTAGCATGCTAACATGCTATTGGTAGCAAATAGTTAAAGGGATAGTCCACCCAAATTGAAAATTCTGTCATCATATACTCACCCTCATGTCATTCCAAATCCTCCTTCTCCTGAACACAAAAGAAGATATTTTGAAGAATGTTGATAACCAAACAGCTTCAGTTCCCATTGAAACTTTTTCTTTTGTCTTGTGGTGGGATCCAAAACTATTCTTCAAAATATTTTTCGTGTTCCGCGGACGAAAGGAAGTCATACAGGGTGAGTAAATGACAGAATTTTTGGGTGGACTATCCCTTTAAATGCAGGAGATTTATTTAAATTATTCTAATTTGATTAGGGTCAAAGAATATTTTTTAAATGTTACATTGGTAACCGTAACTCTCTTCTGTCTGGTTTTCAGATCTCGCATAACACTTGTAATTACTCATTTGTTTCTGGTAACCCTCTGCAATCTGTAGTTTGATTTAATTATTAATATTTAAAAGTTAGTTTGTTGTAAACATTTGCTCGCAGTATAATGTATGCGCAGTATAGTATGTTAAATGTAATTTAATACATTAGAAAATGAATTATTACATTTTAAAAGTATTAAAATTCCTATTCCAACGTACTTTGTTAAAGCCTGCTTACATTCTCTATCTTCTTTAATTACTATACACTCTTCACTTATTTCTGGTATTGTTCCGTCTCAACTGAAAACTGCTGTGATAACTCCTATACTTAAGAAACCGGGGGCTGAATCAAGTAACTTTGATAATTTTCCCATTTCAAATTTCCCGTTTCTTTCTAAACTATTGGAAAGGTTTGTTGCAGCCCAAGTCCAGAATCATCTTTCTCAAAATGGTCTGTGCGAGCAATTTCAATCTGGGTTTCGTCCTTTCATAGTGTTGAGACCGCATTAGTTAAGATCTTTAATGACTTATTGTTAGCTGCTGACTCAGGAATTTTATCTATACTAATTCTGCTCGATTTAAGTTCAGAGATTAAAGAATGGTTTACTTCAAATCTTTTTAAACTTAACAGCAGTAAAACGGAAATTCTTCTTGTTGGCTCAAAAACCAATCTGATGAAATCCACGTTCATCTGTGAATATTGACAACTTACCAGTGTCTGTATCTAAACAAGGTAAAAAGTCTGGGGGTCATCCTTGACAGTACTCTCTCATTCGAAGCACACATATACAGTGTCATTCACTCTGCTTATTTCCATATACGTAATATTAATCGACTTTGTCCGGCTCTCTCAGTAAAGAGCACGGCAATACTTGTTCATACTTTTGTCACTTCCCATATAGATTATTGCAACGCTCTTTTTTATGGACTGCCTTCAAAGCTTCCACAAACTCCAGCTAGTACAGAACTCGGCTGCTCGAATCATCTGCAGAACTCCTCTAGCTGAACACATTACTCCCATATTACAACATTTGCACTGGCTCCCGGTTAAATATCGTACTAATTTTAAAATTCTTCGTACTTACAAGGCACTCAACAATCTTGCCCCTTCATACTTATCTGACCTTCTTCATATTTACACTCCTACTTGGACTTTAAGATCATCTTCTTCACTCACACTTGTTCTCCCTCGAACTCGCACTACTTCCATGGGGTCCCGAGCCTTTAGTCATGCAGCTTCTTATTTATGGAACCTGCTGCCACAAGATGTGCGAAACAGTGAAAGTCTTTGTGTTTTAAATCTCGCCGTAAGACCCATATTTTTTCTGCAGGCTTTTATGTGATTACTTTTACATTTTATTTCACTGGTATCCAGGCTGTAATAATGAGTATTTATTTATTGTTGATTGTTTTATTGTGTTTTTAAGGTGTCCTTGAGTGTCGTGTAAGGAGCCTATAAATAAAATGTATAATAATAATAATAAAAAAAGTATAAACTTAAATTTAAAAAGTATTTCAAGTATTAACTAATAATAATTACTAATCAGCTAAATGATTAAATTAACAAAAAATCTGTATAATATCTGTATATTATAATCTGTATATTACCCAACCTGATTTAAGAGTGATCCTATTCAGAAATGGCAATTACATCATTATGGCTGTCTTCAACATGCACATTCTTTCTCCATGCAGGCCATCCAGGACATGAACAACTTGAAGCGCTTCATCCGTCAGGCTGAAATGAGCCACTACGCTCTGTTCCGCTGCTGTCTGTTCCTGCAAAGCTGTGGAAACGGGGATGTGCTGCTGCAGAACGCACGCGCCGAGCACAGCAGCTTTCCAGAGGCCTGTGGAATCATAAACGTGCTGGAGGAGTTCCTCGGTGAGCAGGCGCAGGGCACGCTGTACTGACACCTCCCCGTCTGCAGGGGGGCACAGTGTTTCATACACTTACCTATCTGAGAGCACCTTGAAAGGAGTTACCCCTGAATTGGCTTAATGCACAGCTGCACTACTTCCTGAACTTCAGCCAGCTCCTTTGTTTCCTGTCTGCCATTATTGGCCAAACTGATTAATCCAGGTGTGCCTGGCCTCAGTAAAAGTAATCAGGCACACCTGGATTAATCAGTTTGTCCAATAATGGCAGACAGGAAACAAAGGAGCTGGCTGAAGTTCAGGAAGTAGTGAAGCTGTGCATAAAGCCTATTGCTATTCAGCCCCCATAATCATAGCAGTCTGGTCTGCATTTTGGGCACTCGGAAACACTAAATATAGTTTTGAGGTTCAACAGCAAAGATTGAAAAAGATTTTGCTATGATGTGCTACTGTATGTTGTTGTGGGTGCTTAAAAATTATAATCTGAATAGACCCTTTAAAATGGGCCAATGAAAAATCCATGTGATTAAACTTTATTTAAATTATTCTTCTTAATAATGTGTATATGTTAACACAATGGTGTTTAAATGTGATTCTAAGGTGTAGTCTCAGCTGTGTAGCAGTCATTGTTTAGATTTTAAAACAAGTGTTCAGCAGACCGCACTATACATTATAGGAAGCTAACCACGTAATCATGAAGCTCTCCATAAGCTAATAGCCTATTATCACTCCACTCCATTTCAGTAGAAAAATGACTGTGACCTGCATAATGCATTGCCTGTTTAATTTAATTTTTTGATAAGTGCATAATTTGATGGTTTGATATTCCTTTTTGTTCTGATAATCATAAATCGGATGTAAATGTAATGGTTGAAAATAACAGGTTTAAAAACATCATATACCTTAAACATGATATATAGATATATATATATATTAATAGGTGACAGCTGTAAGTAGCAGTAATGCGTATAATTATCATGTGTGGTGCCCCCTCATTCAGATTTGACATGACTGTACTGTGAAAAATTTGTTCCAGGAACATTTCATTTGTGTGAATTTGTAAATTAAAGAAATCTATAACACTGTGGATTGAGTTACTGTTAACTCTTTTTACCTGCCATTGACGGAATTTTCGAGACGGTCCTCACTGCAGAACACGAAATCCAGGGGGAGGAGTTGGATCCAGATCCAACTCCTCCCACCTTACATACCTAAACCTACCCATCTCCACCCCCTGATCCCTAATCCTACCCATCTCCACCCCCTGATCCCTAATCCTACCCATCTCCACCCCCTGATCCCTAATCCTACCCATCTCCACCCCCTGATCCCTAACCCCACCCCTAATCCTACCCATCGCCACCCCTTAGATCTGGATCCAACTCCGCCCCCTGGATCTCGTGTACTGCAATGAGGTGCTACTGGAATTTTCCAGCTTTCTCTGTTTTCACTGTTATACGGTAGGGGGGGCTATGACATTTTCTGAAAGAGTACTAAATTTCCTGATAAAAACACGGGCAAAAAAAAAAGCAGGAATAAACGGACTGTGAAGCTTTGGGGGAGTTGATGGAGCCCATGACCCGGAAAGCGGACATCTCAATTTTCTAATTGCACCGTGAGGAATGAGGAAGCTTCCTGGGGAGGATACACAGGTGGATCCTTTCCTCGCCTCGCATAATAAGGGGGTGGAGCTAAGACGCGAGGGAAGGAAACGAGGATGCACAAATAAGAAATGTGAAGCACCCATTGACTCGATCTACTCTATGGATCTACTCCATATATGTTTTGATCATCATTCTAAATCCGACCCAGATGTAGTCTTCGACAAAAATGTGATTTTCTCAGCTTTTTGCTCTAAATGTTTATTTTTTTTAATGAAACTTACCTATATTTAAGTGTTGATAAAAAGGAATGCATGAAGCTAGAAAAAAAAACACTTTTTTGTTTTGTTTAAAAGGAGAGGGTCTGTTCTTTTGACATATTACATGTTCAAATATTCATACAACAAAATATTCAGGGGGCTATGAAACTTTTGTGAAAATGATCAATGCTGGCATGCAGTGGCTGGCAACTTTTTTCAAAAACGCTGGCGGGGAAAGAGTTAACAGTTGACATTGATTCTTAAATTCATGCAAGAATTAAAAACACACTGTAAATTAAATGCAGGCAAAGCTGTAGTTTTTATACTTTTTTAAATCTAACTGTTTAAACTTCAAGCACCTCATACGGAATGGAACAGGCAGAGAAAAAATCACAAGCTTTTTCCACCTGATTATTTGGTAGGAACCAATTGTAGATTGTTGTAGAATGTTATGTTATATCATTGTTAATTTAAAAGGACTTCAGCGGGACAGATTAAGTAGGAGTCTTGGCTGGAGGGAACAATCATTTAATACCACACGTTTAATGTATCAGGATTACAACACATAATTGCATACTGGAAATACTGTACTTCAACATGGTAAATATGATCTGTAAGTTTTGTAATGGAATATCAGGCATATTTCTACAACAGTTTCTAAAGTTTATTTGTATTCAATTTATATATATTTATATAAAAATATTTACTATACACAGCATCACTGTAATATTTGATTTCCACCCAAAATAAAATTTTAATAAAGATTTTTTTTAATCATTCAACAATATTCCCTTAAAAAGGTTTATGAGACACAAATGTCAAAAAGAACAAAATTAATATACAAATCCAAAACAAATCTAGATACACAATGAAAAAATATATATTTTTGCTGCTTGTTCAAATGACTTAATTAAAATGAGCTTAAGCAACACAATTGCTATACATTTTGTCCAAACCTAATTTGATTGTGTTCAATCTGCTTAAATATATGTAAAATTTAAGTTTACTTAATCTGATTGTGTTGGATTACATGAATGATTTGTGTTGCATTTACTGAAACTGGGCGGTGCTTGTTAGTTCCCAGCATGCTTTGCAAATGGCTGAATTAAGAGAGAATAAATGTTGAAATTAAGTGTTATTTTATCTGTTTTTGAGAAAATGAGAAAAGGGGAAGACTACTTTTAACTGCTCTGGCTGAAGGAGCATGTAAATCTTAGCATTTAAGATGCTAATAAGTGCTATTGATAGCTAATTCTCATTGTCACCTCACTCTGACCACTCCACATACATTTCGTAATTGCGCCACCTATTGGTCGAAAGTGATAATCCATTAAATCATGTTTTAGTTACTGTATGATTATTCAGCTATTGTGCCTTAAATCTAACCTGACTCCGCCAGATGGATTTGCTCCGCATATCCATCTGGAAACCTTCCGTTGAAGTAGTTTTGGTAAGGGGCGAAAATACTGGTTAGCTGATTGGCCTATGTTGGTGATAGACGGGCCAAATCAACCAATCAGATCAACGAAGCATATGACGTACTAACAGAGCGTATCTTTTCCTCTGAGAAAAGCCTCCAGAGCAGTGTTTTGCTCTTCTTTCAGTGAAGAAATACTCTGTAATTCCGATAAAACTTGCTCGATAGCCACGCTGATGCTAGTTTCATCCGCTGAAGCCGACATGTTCTTTAGACTGAACTGACGCGCTTCTCGTTGCGTCACACCTCAACCCGCCTCAAAGCCAACGCTGATTGGACGTTCGTTTGGTGAACTGCTCCCAAATTTTCTTTAACGGAAAGTATCCAGACTGATCTGCGAGTGAAACCTTGAAAGCTCGCGAGATCAGGATGGTCTCACGAGGCTACCTTAAATCATCTTAAAGGGGTCATATAATGGTACATGCACTTTTACAAGTTGATTGTACTGAAATGTGTGTTGGCAGTGCCTGTACACAACCATCATATAATGATAAAAATCCATCCAGTGTTTTTGTTTTAATCTCCTTATATGTTTTCCCCTGCCTCAAATTGAGCCGTTCGTTTTTGTGACGTCAATAAAACGGACGCCCCTCCCGCGATTGTTGATTGACTGGAGTGTTTCAACACAGACCCGCCCTCGCTCGTCCTGTCAATCATAGTCTGCGCGGACCGGCGCGGTCATTGTTGATATGCTGGAGCACTGTCTATGAGCAGAATGGCGTCTAAGCGATTGTGGTGTTCTGTTCTTGGGTGCAATAACGAACACAGCAGTCATTTTCATGTTCCTAAATCCGAACCGCTGAAGACGCAGTGGCTGAGTTTGTTTTCGAAGGGAATATTCCCCACGAGCAACGTCAATGCTCTCATGTTTGCCGAATCATTTCTCAGTGGACTGCTTTATAAACGAGGATCAGTGTAAAGCTGGTTTTGCTGAGAAGCTGCACCTGAATAAAGGATCGGAACCTATTCGTGTTCCTGCTGAACCTTCAGAAGAACTAAAGTGAGTGTAACTTTTATTAATCTTTATATTAATATTTATATTAATCTTTGCAAATCGCCAGCTGCACGCTTCACAATGAATGCGTCTAAGGTTTACACTTAGGGTACATTACAGCATGTTTTCTATGTACAACGTTCTCAATATAATTCATAATCCCACGTTTATAATGAACAACGCGTTATGGATATTGTGTTATTGTGTTACAAACGGTGTATGCGCAGAACAGAGAGGCGGGGTGAGCAAAGCTCATTATCATTTAAAGTCATATGCACTGAAACGGCGTGCTGAAAACAGAGCTGTTTTTGACCAGGTAAAATAAGTGTTTTCTTACAATACTAATGAGAATTTTTAATTAAAGTATATTACAAACTTTTAATTTAGACCCTAAAGAATCATATTAGCTTGTACAAAAATGGCATTATATGACCCCTTTAAAATGTCTTTAATTGCTCCTTGCTGCAGTTGGTCTGACACTCCCAGCCATGTTGGCATGTGGTATTGTCATCTTGGGTTTGGCCCCAATAATTGCTGCTTGGAGTTATATTTTGTTTTTGACTTGTCTAGTTGTAAAAGTTCATCTCCTTTACTCAAAAGAACTTAATTTTGGAGGTAACCAAATACAGCTTTTGCTAAGTATGATTTTGTAACATTTAGAAGAACAGGTCCTGTTCCCCTCTTCTTCTGGATTAATCCCAATTGCCTTTGACCATGCGCTGGCTGTTCATTCCAGTCCGAGCATAGTATAGAACTGTAGTCTAAAAAGAGCAAATTATAGGACATTTATAAAAAGGGCATATCAATAACAAATAAGTTAAGAAAAATAATAATGTCCTATTTATCCACAAATTCACATTTTGAAAGGTATATCTCTAAATATTTAATAATCTTACAAAATAATCTTAAAAAAAAAAAAAAAAGAGTACACAAAAACTGCCTCTAAGCTGTCAGGGTTTTGTTTAGTTTCATTTTGTTTACATATTCTCTGTTCCCCTTTTTCTTTCACCTGTTCTGTTTTACCTTGATTACTCCCCTGTGTATTTAAATCCTGAGTTCTTTGTTCATTGTCCGGTATCTTTTTTTATCTTTAGTTTACGTGGAAGTTTTCTATTATTATTATTCCTGATTCCTAATTGGATTAGTGAATAAAAGAATTTGACTTAGGCCAACACTTTGATTTGCAGTAGAATGATATTTACCCCAAAGCATTCAACACCTTGTAGCTATACACCTCACCACCTGTAGGGGCTCTCAACTTAACATTACACAAATCAGGACAAGATTGCCTTGCTTTTTACGAGGATTAAACCATGAAGTACCACTACTGAAATTGTGAAACAAGAGGTTTAAACTTTCTATTTTGAATTACAACAGGACAAAGGAAAGGAAAAAGACATGTTATTGGCACTTCCCTGTTTAGCGTAGATGCCCAGGGACGGTTTGAAACTCCACAATGAACACAGATGAATCATTGTTCTACATTACCGATGACAGTCTGGATGGAAAATGAACAATATAAGGTTTATCCATCAACACATTTATTATCATCCCAGTCTTGCGAAAAGTGACTCAGGCTCACAAAGGAGCAGTTTTGACCCAGGCAGCAGATTCACTGTCCAAACATGCTATCATGTCATTTAGAAGATCATCACTCTCAGGACTCTCACTACTGCTGCTGTGAGATTCTGCGAAAAACAAATCACACATCCACTGGTTTGGTAAGTACATTTCATTTTCAAATACATAATATTGCAAATATGTTGAGCTGACCTAGTTATAACTCCTGAGTCTGACACATGATAAAAGAAGAAATGAAGACACTGACAATCCTATATTCTCTACACTTTTAAAAATAAAGGTTACTTATTGGCATCAGTGGTTCCATGAAGAACGTTTAACAGCCATGGTGTTACCACAAGAGGTTCTTTAGTAGAAAAATGTTCTTTAGATTATTAAAAAATGGTTCTTTTAAAAACTGTTCACTGAAAGGTTCTTTGGGGAACCAAAACCAGTTCTTCCATGGCATCGCTGTGAAACCCCGCTTTTGGAAACTTTATTTTTAAGAGTGACAGAGGCAAAGACAAATATTGTAAAAAATGCCCATCAACCTGTAATTTTCTAAGATCTTACCAATTGTATGTTCAGTCAGTTTCCTAATCAAAGCGTTTGGGACATCATAGATGCTCTCAGTCACCTCTGTAAAATGGAGAACAATCACAGGACACTGTGCGAAATATATCAATGTTTACAGTGTAAATGTATAATTTGAGTGTGTGGAGACTTGCCATGCTCTCCCTCATTGGTTGACCATTTGGAAGGGGGAGTGTCATAGATGACTTCTTCAGCAACTGCAATCAATCATTAGAAATCATCATCAATCAATTATCAAGAGTAATAGGTTCAAACTATATACAATCGTTTTTATAGTATTTTAAGTATACAGCTGGCAAGGCAAACCTTAATGCAGACGTGAACATTCTAAGTTAAAATACTACATTATATTTCACAAAGCATTCATGAAAAAAAGTTCATTATACATACGTTTTCGAGATGGTAGAACGTCATATTCATAGTCAGTCAGTATAAACTCCTCAGTACTTTGCTCCATTTCATTGTCTGTGTGCAGAGTTTCTTGAGTCTCATCAGCATCTGAGGACCCAAATTCTTGTAAGAGTCTTTCTTCATAGACATTCATAAATGTATTTCATTTATTTAATTAATTAATTAATTATTGCCTGTGATGTTTCCCAGACACAAGGTTGGCAAGAATATTAATCTGCTAAATAGAATATCTTAAAGTGATAGTTCACCCAAACATGAAAGGTCTATCATAATTACACTTTTGTTAATCTTCAAAACACAAATGAAGATATTTTAATGAAACCTTAGAGATTCCAGTCTCTCCACTGAAAGTCCATTACACCAAAACTTTGATGCAATATTGTTTTTCACAATATAATAAAGGCATTTTATTATTACACTTAAAGTCACAATGAAACCAAAATGTACAATTCTTAAAAAGTTTCCCCTCCCTCTTGGATCAACATTCGCTTCGATGTGACGGTGGGACAACCTGTCACTCACACGAGGTCACAGCCATAACAAACCACCATTATCCAACAATCCAATCAATTTGCGATGAACAAAATAAAGTCCCGCCCTACATTTTTTCTTGTTCGAGAAGCTTTTTAACTTTAATAAGTCACAATAGGGAAGAAAAAACCATCACAAATTCTGTTTCATGTCAACTTTAAGAGTGACAGTTTTGAATTACAGAAGGTATTACAGAAAAGCATTAAAAGTCAGCAGGAAGTGGAACTGGAGAAAGTCGAATCATGAATGCGGGACATACCAGTGAAGGACTGGAATGATTCTTGACCAATGGAGAGACATCTGCTGTCCATTGAAGTGCTGCTGGTCTCAGTACTTGATCCTTCACACCGGCTAGACCGAGCTTCAGGGTTGTTATCTGGCACCAGCTCCCTAATCTCAATAACACACACAACACATTCAGAGCGTTATAAATCTCATACAAATAGAAACACTTACATGAAGCGTTTCAAAGTGCAGCGGTACCCATTAGAGACAGATCCAGTTCTGTCGGGGCCATTGAGCAGCATGGCTTTCCAGAGCTGGTCTATCCACTCCTGCCTGACATCAGCTGTATCTGCAGCCTATTAGCACACATTCACAAATGGATTGCAAATGTTTATGGACAAAAGAGGCATAAAGAGGGTACTCGTAACTCCTTCACTCACAGTGCAATGCATGTTCCTTTTTTTAAACGAAACTATTATGACAGTCCTGTCTTAGTTTCAACAAAATAACATTATTCACAAGTGGTTGATGGCAGACCACATCCTCAAACAGATTATAGACACTCTCCTGATTAACGTGGAAACTCACCAGCATTTTCTTCTTCCCATTTTTCATTGTGATCTCAAATAGATAGCGATTGTTCTCCGATCTGTTTACCTCCCGCACAGACTGAACCTGTTAAGCCATGTTGTTAACATGAGCACTTATTTGACCTTCTAATCAGTTTACCAGCTTCTACACAATGATACTTAGATAATATTACAAATCAACTTTACCTCATATATGTAATATTGTCCCCTGAGGTCTAACTGTTGGGGTTAAAGAAAAACAATAGATTAATAACCTTACAAATAAGAATTTTCGGCGAAACGGCAGTAAATTGCATTTTTTGTCTTCAACAGGTGGTCAAACACATCTTACAAAAAAAAGCTTCAACCAAAGTCTGACCTCTGAGGTCCATTTAAAATGCACTATAAAAATATTAAATCAAACACTTAAATACTTACAGCACTCCCATGTTTTTTAGTGTAGAAAAAAAGTGTTGTATTGTAAAGTCTGAACCAGTATGTCACCCACCGAAGCCTCTGAGGAAAATATATTGAATTACTGAGCAAAGAGATTCTCTCAGGTGCACATATTAAGTAATGAGTATTAAATAGATCATAAATTAGATAATGTATAAAACGCAACTGCTGCTGCTAGAACTACTTTTAAAATAAAGTATTTATAAGAAAATAAGTATTCCGCAACTACCCTTAGACTGTCTAAAAGACAAATGAATGATTCCTCCAAATGACAGACATGAAACACTAGCAATATGTACATATATTCATACCATTTTGTCTTTCCGTTTCTTCAGAAAGCCCTGGCAGAGCGGAGACGGCACTCCTCTTCCAGTCGACATGCTCATGCTTAGTTTTGTAAGCTGAAAGTGTTCACACTTCATCATGAACATAACTCAACATCATGACTTCCCCTTGAAACTGTCACATCCTCACTTCAGATTTTTGTAGAATAAAGAGATGCTGTCCTCAGTCAAATGCCAAAACATGGGGGAGGTTCTTGTTCATTTGCTTTGCAGTTCTCAATTTTATTCCATTTTTACGCACCCAAGTCACTATAATGTGATAATACTGAAAAAAAACTATACATAAAAACTAAAGTATTTCTATAACGGCTTTCAATATTCACTGTAATGTTATTTGAGTAGTTTTTGTTTCACAGTAATGTATTTAACTGCCATGAAAATTTCTTAAAATAAAAAAAGTCAATTAAAAGGTAAGTAAATAGGCTTAATTTATTTTATGCAAAATGATTATTTATTAACTATTATTATTATTGGGTGGGTGGGACAATTATTTGAGCATTTAAGAATGCAAAAAAATGCAAGTAGGCACAGTGTCTCTGAAGTAAACAACAGGCAGATTTATTCACACAATTATTTATTGTAAATATCTGAAAACCCACAAGTGCAACAATCCCATGGTTTTGAACAGAGCATTGCATTGAAAGTTACATATGCATAAGAGCTAAAACATTAGACAAACAAAATGACTTTCTCTACATGATTGTTAGTTGGGAAGAATTTCATACAGTCCTTGTAATGGAGTAAGGAGGAACTATTTAGTCTGGTTTGGAACAAACCTAGTAATGCCATATTACAGAAAATAAAAAGTTTTTTTTTCTGTGCAAAATCTTTATAAAGGCCATGGGTAGTATGGAAAAGAAAAGAAATGCATCTTAAAATAAAAACCAGATATTGCATAAAATAATCCCTTGTTCTATGCATGTTTCAAGCAATGCCAAAAACAACATAGAAAAGGCTAATAAATTAATAAACACAGCTGTGATGTGCTAAGAGCAAAATGACCTTTACATTTGAGAAATGGCTTTGTTTCAGTGCTTCTCCCTAAAGCACGAGTGTCTATGTGATACAGTTCAAATATGGTTTGTTCACTAGCTAGACACAATCTTATAATGTCCAGTAAGATATATACATATATAAACAGAGTTCATTCACCTATCAGAGTAAATCCTGACGCTCTGCTGTCTCTTTTCAATATAGGTCACACCAATTATACTGACCTGAGGAAAACATCAGTGCGCATCAATAAAAACCTCCTGTCAGATCAGCAGAGGACGCGATTACAGCTCCTGCCATACTGTAGATGTCATGTTCCAGTACACGGCTGATGAGGCGAGTTCCAATAACATTTGGTTTGGGAAAGACAGTTTTTATACAAAATGTAGCTAACTATTTCTAGGAATCTTCTGTCCTAAATGAAATAAGGATGGAATGAGGGATAATGGGTTTTGTAGTTTTTTAAGAGGGTCTGGGTTGCTGTAACATGCTGGTTGCACTGATCACCGTTGCTTGAGGAGAGCTTTGTACATGGCGAAGCCAAGAACGGCAAACACGGTGGCACCGACACTCGCCCTCAGCCAAAATGTAGAGTTTTTCAGGTCAGCTTGGGTCATGTGTCTGTAGAAAAGCAAAAGTAAGAGAAACAACAGGATTGTTAAGACAGTGTTCATACGGTTTGTGAGACATGACAAAATGTCTGAATCGACAAGTTAGTATTTTTACACACAAAAAAAAGTGTGTCAGTAGGAAATATCAGTTTACATTTCCAAACATTCCTTTTGGCATTAATTGTAATAATCCAGGGAGACAACAACCGGTATGATCCACACGGAGATCTGATCTCACCATCATCTCAGTCCATCTGGGATTACATGAAGAAACAGAAAAAAACAGACCGACTAAATCCAGAAGAACTGCGGCAACGTCTCCAAGATGCTTGAAGAAACCTTCCTTCAAAGCTACAGTACTGTGAAAAGTTTTAGGCACAAGTGAGGATGCTTTCAAAAATGTCAGATTTTATTCATGAATTAACTTCTATTAACTAAATCAAATCAATATTTGGGGTGACCACTCTTTGCGTTTAAAACAGCTTTTGTCCTAGGTAAAGTTGCACATAGTTTTTCAGGTAGATTTGCAGGAAGGTTTCTTCAAGCGTCTTGGAGACATTGCCACAGTTCTTCTGGATTTAGTCTGTCTCAGTTTTTTCCTGTTTCTTCATGTAATCCCAGACAGACTCGATGATGGTGAAATCAGTGTGGATATCCGTGTGGACCATACCGTCTGTTGTCAGACTCCTTGTGCATTCAAAAATCTCACTGGATTATTACAATTAATGACAAAAGGAATGTTTGGAAATGTAAACGGATTTTTCATGAAAATTAACAGTGATAGACAATATTATTTGATCATATAGGTATTTTTTTTATTCCATTTATAGGCATTTAAGCATACAGTAGGATTTATACTTAATAAAATTAAATTTTGTTATGCTTTTGTACATCTGATAATATACAAAGACAGTGGAGCTGCTGAAACTGGAAAAGAGGCAGCATTGGAAAGCAGGAATCAATCAGCTAATGTTTTCAGGGGCAAAAAGCCACAAATGTTTAAAGAACACTGTTCAGACGGTAAAGACAGGGTGACAGAGAGAAACACTACTGGAACAAGAGGTTTCTTGTGAGGTTAAACTCACCCAACACACATCCAGAAGGTTTAAACAGCTCAACACTACCAATCCAAAATCCAGGTTCAGACACAAAACTTTAAAAGCTTATAGCAATGTTTGTTTGAGTGAAACCTATGAAAAAAGCTAAAGGGAAAAAAGCCCATCAAAGCAACAAAGGTGATATGGCATTCACAAAGCAACAAATAATACAGAGTAATTTGCAGAATTCCATCCAGACGTCTGCAGATACCTTAAGGATGTGGTGAAAAACAAATAAGTAAATAAATAAATTAATTTTAATTTTATTTAACCACCTGACTGTGTAAACCGGTCAAGAAGATGTCTTCTTTAAACTTAAAATCCCATTTAAAATCCCATTGTGGCACTGGCACCTTGTACCCCAGGAAGGGGGTCTTTACCTGTTACAAACGGGCAGAAACGGGTCGACAGACGACTCCATGTAGACAGAGTCCTCTACAAAGCTGACTGCATGAACCTGATGGGTGAGGCCGGACTCCTCGTCAGCCAAAAGAAACGTGCCCACATCTTGTATAAAAGATCTCAACCTTATACACACATGCACACAGCATGGCAGTTCAATAACCGCACACCTGACAGGACCACCCCAACATACCCCACTGCTCACCACATGCTGTAAACATACAAACTCTTGCAAACCACTATATAGTTATTACTGAGAAATAGCAGCTTTGTCACTAAAAACTAACAGAATTCCGAATGCTTGTCCATTTTAACAAATGATTTGTGTGTTTTTAAGTTTGGCAATGAATGCCACTTTAAATGTAATTTTATATATATATATATAGAAGCTCTTGTAAAAGAGATTCTTAATCTCAATGTGCTTCTTTCCTGGTAAAATAAAGGTTATAATAATAATAATAATAATAATATACATACACAAACAAAAATGGGTTGGACTATGAAACTGAAACACCTGGTTTTAGACCACAATAATTTATTAATATGGTGTAGTAGGGCCTCCTTTTGCATCCATTACAGCATCAGTTCGTCTTGGGAATGACAGATGCAAGTGCTGCACAGTGGTCAGAGGGATTTTGAGGCATTCCTCTTGCTTGCAGAACAGTGGCCAGAACATTGTGATGCTGGTGGAGGAAAAAGTTTTCGGACTTGCTTCTCCAAAATGGCTCAAAAATATTTACATCTGGTGACTGTGCAGCCCATGTTCAACTTCACATTCATGTTCATCAAACCATTCTGTCACAAATCTTGCAGTGTGTATTGGTGCATTATCGTGCTGATACACAGCACCCGCTTCAGGATACATTGTTTGACTTTGAACCATCAGATGCACATAGTTCTCCAGAATGGTTCAGGAGTTCTCGGCAGTAACAAATGCTTTTGAATGCCCATCAAGCACAGTAGGGAATGCCAAGATTTTGCAGCCCAAACCATCACTGACTGACCCGTGCTTCACTCTGGGCAGCGACAGTTCTGGTGTCAAGCCACACCATAAGCCACGGATGTTGGAAAGAGAGTGAAGGTGGACTCAGAGAACAATACATTGTCCAGAGCCCAAGATTTGAACTATTGGCAGTGGCACCAATGAAACCAACATTTGTGTGACCAAAGGTTTGGCTATAGCAGCCCGATCATGAATATTGACTGTGGAGCTCCCGATGAACCGTTTTGGTGGAAACAGGAGAGTCGAGGAGCAGATTTAATTCTGCAGTCAGTTGGGCAGCTGTGGTTTTATGCTTTTTGTATATATTCCAGGTTAATAGACCCCTTTTCCGCCGACGTCACAGTTACGTCACGGCTCTAGCTGGAGGCAAAACAAACGGACAACTGGAGGCGGCTAATACAAACCAGCACAGATTCGGCTACATAAGGAGCTTAAATTATTATTATTATTATTAAACGTCATCTTGTTGTGTTGTTGGGTGCAAGAATCAATAAAAAATGAATATGCTGTATCTGGAATTTTTATTTCTAGAAAATATTCACATCATTAACATTGCACCGTAATGTCACTTTTTACATTGTCGTCTTCTTTGCGCTGGCTAGGCAGAACTGCGGATCGTACCACACAAGTCTTGTACATGACCATTCAGCACATGGTTATAGGCATCTAAAGATTTATATGCCCATCTGTTGATTCTGTTCTTTTTCTTTTTTTTGTGTTGTTTTGACATTGTTGTATGTTCTAAAAACAAAAAGAGGACAGTATGTCCTAACTGCACACATTTCTATGTGGTTATACATTATACTTCTGTGTATGATGTAGATAATATAACGATGTGAATATGTGCTCTAATAAAAATATTTGAAACAAGATTTATACGCCCTCAGTTTCTCTTTACGCTCGGTTTCTCTATCGGATAGGTGTAGATGTCAGGCCACTCAACCGGAGGTAGCATTAACGTTAATCCTGTCAGATCGTCCATCCATTGAGTGAGCGTGTGTACAGTACGGGTCAGCCAATCTGGTTCTGTCCGTTAAAATCAACTTTTGCAAATAATCGCGGTCCTGGACACTGAGTGACCT